TTTGAATGCATTACAAATAAATTCCTAGACACTTGAATCTTTTAACAATTGATAAACATCCTTATGTAGCTATACTCACACACCCCCCACCTCTCTCCCTTTCTTCTTGAGGCTCCTTTTCACTTTTACAAGTTATATACATGCGTATGTTGGTAACATAGATAATTACTTAAACATAGATTTATACTCTATTATCTATGGTTGGTAAATACAACTGGTGGGATTACCCACTTACGTTTAACATTAAAGTTGATGTATTGTCTGACACTTGAGCTACTGACTAGTTTTGTATTCCTACACTCAATGGTGCTCCCATTTATTGAAGTAGATACAATAACAACTGCATTTGAGATCAGCATGACATTATCTTGAAAAATTAATGTAAAATTAAATGGTAGAATATCTTTTGGAGAAATGTTTTCAGTATTGAAGGTGGTAATACTTCCTCCATATGTCCATGTTAACATAAATAATTGATCAGGAGACTTGGTCACAGTACATGTTATTGTTAGTACTTCTCCTTGACATACTGAGAGAGTACCATTAGGTGGAGATAATGTAACTAAAAATAATAGGTTAATTATATATGCAGAGTTCTAGGGTTTAGTAGAATAGGGCATGAGTTGATTATTGAGAATAGATTCATGTAATTGTAATAATCTATTACATCATAGAGTTACACAAGCACACTATCATTGTGATAACATTGATATAAGAGATATTACTGAATACACTAAGAGAAGTTAGCAGGACAATTGTCTATTTCAACTCACCTATTGCTTGAGAGGAGGCAAGAGAAAAAAAACAATGGGCCACCAAAAGAGAGGTCACAAGCTTCATTTGTCTTGATATAGGTAGAGCAACATTATAGTCTGCCACTAGATCGACATAATACATTGTGACTATGATTGTGACTTTGTGGTTATACTACTATAGATCTGATAATAGACTGTAAACAATGACATATAAGTGCATTAAAATCAATGATTGTGATTTTATCCCAATAGCAAAATTAGATACAAATACTAGGCACACACTCTATAGTTAAATTTAATTAAGTTTATGCTATTTAAAGTTAATTCTTTTGATATTTCTCCCAATTCGATTATTGTTTTGTACATCAATACTTTCACCACTTCCTTGAGAAAACAACTAATACTTCCCAAATGAAATTATATAATAATTATTATCATGAGGTAAAGCTGAGTTTAGACTTTAGGCAAGAGGGACAATTATGATTTTTAGAGTGATTTAAATGGCATCAAAAATACAATTCTTTGTACTAATAATTGAAGACAATTGAGTCTAGTTAGTATCCATTAATTAGTATTAACACATAACAGTAGATTCCATCTCTCATGCAGGTCCAAGTTTGCATATACTCAATAAACCATTTAAAATTATTATTGATAGCTAATGTACTACTAGTATATTAAATTTGTACTTTTTCATAAATGTGATGACCAGTGGGGACTATCATTAAACCAGCAGCCTCAACAAGAAACATTTTGCAATTAGATCTATATGTATACAATTTTTTGGAACAATGAATACTCCACATATGTCATGAAATATCAATCAATATGATGTATTAGTCATAGGAAGAGAGCATGAATTGATACCTGAGGCAATAAAAAGAATAACAAATTGAAATGTGGCTTTACTCAGTCCAAGTGCTGCTCATCAGTGAAATCTGAAAATGTTTATCATATTCTTTATTCTGTTTTCAAGTGTCTATGGTAAGTTTCATTATAATTAATCACTTATTAGTATTAATTATTAACAATAGTATCATCAGGTACATTGTTATCTTTCAACCAGTCCTCTCCATCATATGATATTGTATGTCCTGGAGATACACTAGAATTCACTTGTGTTACTAGCTATGAAGAGGGAACAGTTGTTGTGTGGAGAATCAATGGGAAAAATCGTGTTCTAATCAATACTAATCCTGAACTTCTCAAAGGCTTTACATTAAAAATTACTGATACCAATGATACTACATCAACATTAACAAGTACTGCTACAAGAGAGTCTGTTCCATTACATATTCAAGGAACTATAATTGAGTGCTCTGGAGATGGATTTCAATACAGTACATTAACAGTACATATTGCAGGTAAGAAACATCATGAACCATATGTATCATAATACTGTATCTATGTATAGGTGTACTAGTATCAGTTATTAATATAAAGATAATACCAATTAATAACAATACAGTATTGATGAACTGGTACTATCAAAAGAATGATGAAGTACACTGTATTCAATATTATAATATTACAATAATCAGTGATGATAAAATTGAAATACAAATGATCAGTAATGAATCATCAGCTACTATTCCTTCTCTTATTATTGGTACTAATTATTCATTTATTATTATTCCTATTGATACTATTGGAAGAGAAGGACCTTCTTCATCATTAATACAGTATATATGGAATGGTAAGTACTATACACACACACACTCATTGTATTTCTTATAGTACCAGCTCAAGTTGTTAATATTAGTTGGGATCAGATATCAACTGATAGTATTACAATATGGTGGAATATCAATGAAGTATGTTAAGATATTATTAACTATAAATCATTATTATTATTGATAGGATGTTACATTACATTATCCTCCAGTACATTACATTTTTA